TGCATTGTGATTCTCAGATATACAGGCAAGTTTCTTAGAGGTTTTCCTTCATAGTATTTTAAAAAGTTGTTATTTACTAAAGCTAGCAAGAGTAACCTAAGAAACTCAGTCAGTCTTCCTGTACATTGTCAGTTGTATATGACTTTTGTTAGCAAAACTTGCAACAGGATAGGCCAGAACATGTCTACCTCTCTCATGCCCATTTGGGCCTTGGTAGTAGATTAATTAAAGCACATCCCTGTGTGTGGCTTCCTGGGCAGTATGGATTCCTTGAAGGACTAGGATGGAACAGAAAATATTCCAAAAGTCAAGGATTCTGAAGTCATTAGGATAAGCTCACATTCCTGCAGCTAGGCACACATTGTTGCTTTTGCCAAAAGTTTTTGATTGAAAGAAAGTTAATTTAAGGGCACAGTTTACGTTAGAATCATGAATTAATTTTTAAAATACAAAACAAAGTAAAAAATCACTCTTATAAAGAAACATTTATTGAGTAATTTTTATGCCTTTGATGCTAGGCTACTAGGCTGGATGTTAAATCTAAAATTATGCACTTACTGAAGTTAAGTCCCTAAGTTCAGACACAGGACTGGGAACACTAAAGAAATGTGTGATTCTGGCTTTTTTCTCATATATTTTATTAGAAAAATAATGATACAATATTTATTTATTTATTCTATTCCATTTAATAATATTGAGTGAAAGAATTCAAGGACAAATGAGAGCTTCAAATGTTATACATCTTAGTAATTGAATATTTTGTATACATTCTCCTCTATTAACTTTCACAAAACTATGATATAGATGTTTCTTATTTTAAATAAATTTCATTTGCAGCATTACCATGCCATATTACAGTTAATACATAATGAATAAAATAGCCTGATCTTAACTTTAGTTTTTAAAGAATGGGCCCAAACTCTAAGGACATCTCTACCCCCAGATGTTTCTTGGAACCGTGCTCCTCAGTCAGGCATCACCCATACTTTTATTCAAAATAATTTCTCCAACATCAATTTTTGGGAACTTCAGACACAGATCTACCCTTTTCAGATAACCTTTCCCTTTCATCCCTAGGCCTAAAACATCTCATACACACTATATCAAGTGTTCTTCCAAATCTTCATTGCTTTTAATAAAGATGCATGTGCTGCCTTTCCGTGCTCTGATATGTTAATTGTCAAGCATACCCACATTCATTCATTATCTTGGGGTAGAGTAGCAAATTGAGGTTCCCAGGAATCAATATCAGGTGCCCAAGTCAAAAGAGCACATGGCTCACTGAGTTGGCCAAGGCTAATCAAAAGTCGTTACTTCAGATTCTGTCCATTTTATGTCATTCCTACATTCATTGCATTTATTTGAGGACAATCAATTGATATTATGAGATGCATGTAGATCATAAGATGGCTTTGGTATAGTAAAGTAGATTGTCACCTAGTTACTTTTTGTGCATATATCTTGTACATATATTTGTCACATAGTTATTTTTCGTACAAGAACAGCTAAACTCTACTTAACAAAATTCTAATATAATACAATTTTATAAGTGCTCAGTGGTAGAACAAGGTCCTGGATTCAAGCCCCAGCTGCATCAATATCATCTATATCTAAAAATAATACATAAATAAAAATATTTTTAAAAATACCCTAACTTTTAAAATTTACAGAAAAGAAATTTCACTGAGTGGTGGGGCAGAATATATGAATATTTAAATGATCATCAATAGTCAGTAATAGCAGTATCCCCCTTCCAAATATTCATTCCAGTAAACTGTGGAGTGGGGATCCAAATCCAGTTTGCTTATCTCAGAATTCACCTGCATTTTTTCTGCCATACCACAGAGCTGCCTCCTCCTCTCAGAAAGGGAGAGGAGAAGGGAATGAGCTGAGTTACCAGTAATATTTTATAAGTATGAAAGGCAAATGGAGTATTAAATTAGACTTTGGACTTAAATTAATAGCAACTATATTTCCATACTATAATTAAAGAAATAACTCTATCATAATGTCAGAACAAAGCCAGTTTTCACTGAAGCCTTCAATGATTCATATCACAGCAAATTTCCACTGAGTTGCTCTAAGGAGAAAGGCTTACCACGGGATTCCCAGAGTCTGGGGATGGTGAGATAAACAGGACAACCCCAAGCGTGGGAATACTTCAAAGCGCAGCTTGAAGCAAAGCAGGCAGCTGTATACAATAGTGGCAGATGAAGGAGGAGGCATGTGGGTGGAGCAATTGGGTCAGGAGGACTTGGCATTGGCATGGACAGGTTCTACAATGGCTGCAGGTGCAAATGCAAGGCGGGGCTCCACCGCTGGTACAGCCAGAAAGGGATGCTGATATCCCTGTTTAGCCTGGGGACCCATCCACAGGATTTCACAGTAAACAGTTACCACCCTGTCACCTCTATTTTAGTACAAAAATGTGTAGTGTACTTACACAATTTTAGAAATGATAAACATTTGCAATTAAAAAAAATATCCCGAAAGACCATGTAGACAAGAGAGAAAATTGAGACCCAGAGGAACTAAGCTGCCCCAGGTCACAAGGGTACTTAGCAACCTCTCCACCTAGCACCCAGTCTTCCCTTTTCATCTCAGGGCTTTTCACAGTGTTTAGGCATCTTCCTCATGGTCAGAGGACGGAATGCTCTTGGTATCAAATAAAAGTTATTAAATCTAGATACGCAGTATGATCACACCTCTAACTTTCAAAAAGAAGGAACATCAAGTGCATCCTAAAATTGCCCTGAGCCAAACGAGTTGTTGAGATCTTACAGAACCCACAGGGCCATCGTAGGAGATGATCCTACATCTGCAGTGCTCTACAAACATCTTTCCCAGTTACTGCCTAATAGACTAAAACAGCTGTATTTATCACTGTTTTAAAAAAAAGTACTTACAAATAATTTTTAATTAACTCCTCAATGCAAAGGTGAAACCTAAATAGTACCGCCTGTGTATCTGGTTGCTTCCCCTTGGTCTCTGCTCAGACGTCAGATGGTGAGGCTTTCCTAGAACACTCACTTTCAGGTCACAGACCACACCCCATGCCTCTGCCCCTCAGCACTCTGTCTTTTTTTCTCCAAGGCAATATTTCAGTCTAACAAATGATGCTCATTTCTGAAGTGGAGGAGCTAGATGAGCAAAAGCTGAGTATCTGGTATGTTATGGGTGTTAGCAAAGATTGAGTGAATACATGAATGAATATAAAACTGTAGAAAGACAAGTTTAAAAATGTACATTAAAGTTCCTGCCCTTATACAGACTGCATATTCTTCAGAAGCTAAATAAATTTCAGATAAATAAGAACTTTTCACTTTTCTTTAGTATATACTATAAGGTCTAAGCTTTAATAACAAAAATTCAAAGGTAATACCTAAGGAATAATCCTAACAAGCATTTTGATTATTCAATAATTGGCTTTTAGGGGCTGTGGAGATGGCTCATCAGTTAAGAGCACTGGCTGCTCTCTCAGAGGACCTGGGTTCGATTACCAGAACCTATGTGGCAGCTAACAATCATCTGAAACTCCAGTTCCAGGGGATCCAATGCCCTATTCTGACCTCCACGGGCGTTGCATGACACAGGTGCACTTACATATATCCAGGCAATACACCCATACACATAAGAATCATAAATAAAATATTACAAAATAATAATTAGTTTTTATAACATTGAATTATATTAAATAAACTTAAATTTTGAACTTTTTTTCATGCATGTACAAGAGATTCTTCTAGTCCTAAGGTAGAATTACTAAACTCTTCAGAAGTCATATTTCTCAAAATCTTAAAATTATATTTATTTACTAGTTTCCTTTGCAAAATATGTCTTGCTCTTCTTAGAGGCATAAGAGGGCATTACTGAGAAACCTAGAAAAGAAATTAGATATACTATTCTGAATAAATCTGTATAAAATGTGTACTGATCAAACAAAGGCAATAATAACGATCCAGACACAGAGAAGACAGCAGGGCGCACCGCGAAGCCTGTGGTCCATGTGATCCAGGTTCGTGGTGTGCTTTTCAGTGTGCCCTGTCCTCAGCCTGGGAACTCTGGGCCAGCTACTGGTTTTATTGTTCAGCTGTGCCCTCTCTGAGCACTCATTTTCAAAACATCATAGCATGAAACATGGCAAATAAAACTTCTCCTACGAATTCTGCCAGACTCTGAATCATCTAATGTATATCAATTAAAAAACATCGACTTGGGAACCAAAGGGCATTTAATGTCAACAGATGGAGGTGGTGGATTTGGCTGACGTCAGATGTAGGTTATTCTTTTTTGTTCTTCCAACCCTTCATTTTTTTTTTAAAAAAAAGAGCATTTATTCAGTCCAATGATGCCCCTCAGTACTGGAAGCCTTGGACCGAAGGCAATGGACAAATATTCCAGATGGCTTTCTTAGTATTTTTGTGGAACTCCTGCAAATGATGTTCATTCTCAGAAAGAAGAATCTTTAAAAATACCTTTAATATTTGTTCTAGAAATAAAAATGCAATTCTCCTAATTCTAATAATTGAGAAAATTCACTGAAAATGAAGCTGTGGAGAAGTATGTCTTTGTTGGAAATCTAAAATGAAGAAATTAGCTCACTGCATAATTAATTTATCGTATTTAGCAGTATTCATCTCAGAAGTCATTTCAAATTAAAAATAACCATCTATAGAATTCTTATAAATGACTGAATACAAAATCTAGCTTCCTACAGAAGTATTGGTTTAATGTGGAAATTTCATTCCTCCTTGTAAGCCCAAAGCTTGTATATGAATCATCAAACTGGTATATATGAATTCATCTATAATTTCAGATCTTGAATTTGTAAATGTAAATTTAATGTTTAATAAAGAGGAACCTTAATCTGAAAAACAGAGTCTTATGATATGGAGTCATTGTCACTTAGGAAAACATCAGCCTAGTCTGAGAGGACTGCTTTAAAGTAGGGGTCACAGTGGGAATCATAAAAATGTTCTTGTTTGTAGACTGGATTCACTTCACATTCTGGATTTCTGGACTGTGGAAGCAATGTGAGTTTCTTCTGCAGAGATGGGATGGCACAGAGGAAGGAGAGCTGCCAGTTACACAGGACTGCATGGGAGGCATTATTTGGAATGTGCTTAATGGTGACACCTTTTAATAACAATTTTGGAACTCAGTTTAAAAGTGTTCCTTGTGATGTGAGTATGGCTTTCTCAGTTTATTTATTTTATCTTTTTTAATTTAATTTTTTATTTCATTTTTTTATGTGTATGAGTGAATTGCCTGCGTGTATGTAAGTGCACCCATGTTGTGCAATGCTCTCAGAGGTGAGAGGTGGTGATGGATCCCCTGGAACTGGAGTTACATATGGTTGTTAGCCACCATGTGGATGCTGGGAATTGAACCCAGGTCCTCTGCAAGAGCAGTCAGTGCTCTTAACCACTGAGCCATCTCTCCAGACCCTATTTTTATTTACTATGTGTGTGTGACAGTATGTGATAGTGTTATGTGTGAGTGTGACCGTATGTGTGGAGGTCAGAGGACAACCTGTGGTGTTGGTTCTCAAATTTCCACCTTGTTTGAGACAGGACCTCTTTGTTATTCACCACACCAGCACATACACTAAGCTAGCTGGTCCACAAGTTTCTGGGACTTCTGTCTCTATCTCCCCACTTACCATAGGCATAGGGATTACAGACATGCACTATCATGCCTAACTTTACCTGGGTTCTGCAAGTTCAAACTCAGACAAGTATCTAACCACAGATCCATCTCTATAATTCCAGGTTTTCTCTTTTTTTTTTTTCTTATTGTAATTGTAATCAAGGGCTGCTACTGGGCATCAGCAAACACCTTTAGGGGTTATTATGCATGGATAGAAAGAAAGGGGTTCTAAGAAAGGGTGGTTCATATTATTTAAAAGAACATGATCTAAAATCTACTGCATGATCTACTTTCACAATCACAAACTACAAAAAGGAGATTCATGGCCTCATTACCAGTGTTTATAACAGAATTTGTCATTTTCTTTAATTGAATTAGTTACATTTTGTGACATGAACATAATAAAAGTGAAAGTGACAATATTATCTGGTTCCTGGTTTTAGTAGTTTTAGTGCATCATCATATAAAGTAACATAACTATGAATTTTATTTTTTGATTTTATTTGTGACTATATTAGGTTCACACATATTCTATGAACTTAAGAATATATGATTCTCTATATAAGGTGCATGGGTTCTATCAATATTATAGACAACTTTGGCAAATTCATGTCCTTATTTTTTAGTTACTAAATGTGTTCACTTTGAAAAATTATGAAAATAAATTCAAAATATATGTATACATAAAGTTAATGTGCAGAACTATGGATTACTTAAAATGTGAAAATAAAACAAAAATGACATTTTATATTAAGCACAAAATACAAAAACCAGGTAATAAATTAAAACATACAGCATGTTATAACAGCAAATTTAATGTAAGATTCGATATTCTACAAACCAAGGTATTACTGTTGTTTCAATTCGATTAACAACGGGTTTTATTTTATATTTTTCATATTTGTATTGATTGAGAATTTCACACAATTATATTTTGATCATATTTAGGTTAGATCCCCTTCCCCATCTCTACCCCCACCTTATCCCCCTCCAGCTTCATGTCCCCTATTATTATTTTTTAAGGCTTATCAAGTCAAATTCATGTCCCCAAGTACTCTTGGGTGTGGGTCCATCTTCTGGGGCGTGGTCAACCTACCCAGTGTCACACCTTTAAAGGAAACTGACTCTCCTTCTCCCAGCAGCCATCAGTTGCCAACACTTCTTCAGCTAGGGCTGGGGCTTCTTGCCACCTTACCCCTCTGTCCTGAGATTTTGTCTGGCTTGAGCTTGCATAGAGTCTTGTACATGCTGTCACTTAACCAATGAAATGATTTTTGGACTTAGTTACTCATGTTAGGTATTTATTTAGCCATTGCTTATGACAGAAAATTCATTTTATATGCACTATCCTAAGAAGGTTTTGATCACAATCACAGAGTACATGTCCAGAACAGTAGGAAGGACACAAAATGAATGAATGTGAGGAGAGGGATGGGAGGGCAGGGCAGAGGGAGGCATGGGGGAAGGGACAGCCAACAGTAAGGACATTTGAAAAACCCATATGGAAACCTACGATTTAATAAACTATATATTTTAATACAAAAGAGTTTAAAAGGGGGCTAAAGAGATGACTCAGTGATTAAGAACACTGAATGTTCTTGCAGAAGACCGAGGTTTGAATCTTGGCACTTACATGGAGTCTAACAAGTGTCCATAACTCTAGTTCCAGGGGATTTGAGACCCTCTTCTATCCTCAGAGGGCATTGCATAACAGAGTTGCACTTACACACATGCAGACATGACACTAATATGCATAAAATTAATAAAATTTCAAAAAAATAATAAAAGTTTAAATGGAGTTACCTTACAGAGGAGATAGTGCTCCTTCCAGAAGCTATAGGCTGCCAAATAAAAGTTCCAGTGACTAATGTGAGATTCTTCCCCTCATGAAGTTGGTCAGGGGTGTTCCAGAGATTCCCCAAATAATATAGGATATTGCCATTGCTCTTGACTGTCCACCAGAACTTGATTTATAAGACCTTCCTGCTGAAGACCTTGCACACCTTGATAACAGGACACTGAGAAATCAAGTTGGTACTTCCTCCCTCCTAGCTAGCTTTCATGGAGCTAAAATGTGCTATGCAGGTTGCTAGAGGTGTGGGGGGGGCACAGCAACAGTCTTTCCCAGCTGTGACTCTTGTGAGCTACAATAATAACCAGTGTAGCAAGATATGCCCATGGACACAATAGCAGCATGAATGTTATAGGGGTAACAACTGCTTTCTATTGGATTTAAGACCTACTCCACAGGAGGATATGCCTGGTACTGTAACTCTAGCCAACAACCTACGGTTGAAGAGCTTGTAGGCACCAAGGGTAAACCTACACCACTATTATTTTGCTAAGTGGATATAGTATCAAACTGCCCTCTAAATTCCTATCTCTATACCCATAGATTAGTGCAGCTCTCAGAACTCATTCAAGAAGTTTCTGTACTGGATGGTTGTTCAGATAGAAACTCACAACTGGCCAAAGTACAGAGAATAAATATCTGAGAAGTGCTCAGTCACAAATGGGATATTTATGTCATTTGTGGTCCCCACAAAATTCAGGGACCATTGGAAGAATAGTCAGGTTTTTTTTAAGGATGCAGGTTGTCCCTGGTATAGTAGTTGGCCTCCTATGGCAGTGAGTGTATGGGCAGCACAAATTGGACTCAGTAGGTTATATATTTTTAAAAAATGATACTAGATTTGGAGGGAGTGTATGGATCTGAGACGAGTTTGGGGAATGGATGGAGGATGAAAGTGATCAAGATATATTGTATGCATGCACAAAATTCTCATAGAATTAATAAAATATTATGTAAAAAAAGTCTCATTTTTTTCCTCTTTCATTTATACTTCTATTGTTTCCCAATATAGCTGCAGCTCATCCAAAGGCAAGATGCTTGTCTGCCACCTCCTTCCAACCACCTATGGTGTTTTTAACACCGCAATAACACAAAACAGGTACGTATTTATTCAAAACCTTATGGAAAGCACAAGCATCCCAACACCCCTCAACCACAATGATTCTACAATGCCTGAGGCCATCTCTGATGCCCTGTCTTCCTTTATGGGAATGACCCAATGCTGAATCATTCAAAGCAAAGCAAGCTATTCTTTCTACATGTATCTTCTTTTCACTTCTTTCCTTCACATCACCAGCCAGGCTTCTTTGAAGCAGCCGTACCAGAGTCCTGATAATGATCTAGGCTGTGATCACAATGGATAGCAGCCTAGAACACAGGGCCAGTTACTGGCACTCACATACTCACACCAGGCCCTGCCAAACCACACATGCTCCTGTCCAAGGAGCTTCCTTTCAAACACAGGCAGGCCTTGAGGCTTCTTAGGCAAAGAGAAAAATCACAAGTCCCAAAGGCAGGTAACAAATTACTTTTTTGACACAGTCATGACAAGCTGTGAAAGGTCCAAAGTGATGCCACGAACATGTATCATTAACCTAAATGAATACATCCAGACTCTCCTCATTTCAAAGGCGCCACTAGTAGATTGAAGTAGGATAGGTTGGAATGGAAATTTTACTCATGGTTCAATGGGACCATTGTGGTCATTGTCCCAAGAAATGACATGATGAGCATAAGAAATCCAAGCCTGGCTGAGCATGGTGACGCATCCCCTTAGCACTCAGGAGGGAGAAGTAGGCAGATCTCTGTGAGATAGAGGTCAGCCTGGGCTACATAGCAAGTTCCAGGCCAGCTAGGGCTACAGGGAGACCCTGTCTCAAAAAGACCCCCCCCAAAAAAAGGAAGGAAGGAAGGAAGGAAAGAAGGAAGGAAAGAAAGAAATCCAACCTTTTCCGGTTAATTTTAGCCTCATCTTGAAGTACCATATTTCAAGTGTCCAATGACTGCTAAATGGAACTGCTAGGTTATTGAAAGTAGTTAACAAGACAAATGGAATTCAAATCATTACACACACCCCCAAAAAGGGCAAATTTGGAGAAAGAAATGGTTTCTGGTGAAAACAAATATAACTACATTCATATATAATTTACAACAAAATGATTTTGGAACCAAAGTGGCATCATTTTATTCTAAGTAAAAGAGAGAACAATGTGTTCAGCCTTCTCCCCCGCTGCAAAGAGCTGCTAGGAGTATTGATGAGCTTCTCTTGGGAAGTCAGCAAGGCTGTTGGAATATGATTTAATCACATCAGATTATCACATTAAGTGGTCATCAATTCAGTAAGTTATGAGCTAATAGGCAAAGTAGGAAATGTTCATGTGGATCTGGTTCTTGTCATCCTTTGTCCCTGCGTGACCTGCCACTGGCCATTCATTATGGCCCTGTTACATACATGGTGTGGAAAGGAAAAAAGAGATTTTAAAAAATACTCACATGCAGTTGTACCTGATACATTATAGAGCTTGCTAATCAGCACTAACTAATAATAGTAATTTTATTCTTTAATTTCCTACAAAATAGACTCCTGATCGTAGATGAAATTTTAACTCCTACTTTTTCATTGAAATACTGCCATTGCACCCTTCAATTTCATGATTTTATTCAATCTATTTCACTATCTCCAGTGTATCTGCATTCTCAAATAACCTTTGGAACATGGCTATATTTGTATTCCGTCCTATATACCACATAGTAGGTATTTAATATACCTACCAAAATCGATGAGCAAATGGCTATTTATTATTTTCAAATTATTAAAGCTACATGAAAATTAAAAACATTATTTCGAATACACATGTCTCAAGTATCTTTGAGCATCATTACTTCTCTGATTCCATCTCTGAGCACTGCTTGCCCCATTTCTTAGCTTAAATGGGGAAGGAAACATGAGAGGTCAAAAGCAGGATAGAGCATCTCTCAAGAAACAGATACAGATTTACTCACAATTTACTCACAAAAAATGCAGAAGTTAGCTGCTTTGTTTTATAGACCACGGTAAATGATTGATGACTTCAGCTAAAAGATTAGATTTTCCTGACTCCCAAGCAGAAGTCACTGCATGCTCTTCCCAGAATGTCCTTTGTGGTGGGATGACTCAGCTGGGAGAGAAGCCGTTTTACTCTTTCCACCTACCTTCTTCCTCCTCCTGCAGGAAGACAGATTCAGGGGCCAGAACTCAAATGGGCAATGTTAGCAATGGACGCTGCACAGAAAAAAGGGAGATGAGAGCTGAAGTCTGGTCCTCTGAGGGCATCATGAAGCCATTCTTCCAGTCCTAGATTACTATGCAAAAAAATTTAAATGAAATATACTTTTTCCTGGCATAATTGTGTAATTTTTCCCATACTAATATAAATCAATCCTCGCCAATATATCATTAAAAGAACTACAGCCATACAGTATGAAACTCAATAACTCAGTCTAAATTGTGGTTTGAATGAGAATGTTCTCCATAGGCACCAAGTATTTGAACACTTTGTCTCCAGATGGTGGCACTGTTTTTGGAGCTTTAGGAGGTGTGGCCTTGCTGAAGAAAGCACATCATTGAGGACAGGCTTTGAGAGTTCATAGCCATGCCCATTTCCAGTGTGTGTATCTCTCTCTCTCTCTCTCTCTCTCTCTCTCTCTCTTTCTTCTTTCCCATGCCTGCTTGAAGATGTGAGCACTGGCTTTCTGCTCTGTCTACCTCTGCCACCATGCCTCCGAGCCACCTTAATAGACTCTCATCCCTCTGGAACTATATGCCAAATAAGCTGTTCCTTCTATAAGTCCCTTGGCCGTGGTGTTTATCACAGTGACAGAAAAGTAAATAATACAATAAGCCTACCTAATTACCATGCATTTACTACACAACTTTTTCCTCCTTTGCCATTTAAAATTTTATAATATTCACAAAAAATTCATTGAAGAAGCTGAGCATCATAGTGTAGGCCTTCAATCCCAGCACTTGGGAGGTAGAGACAAGCAGAGGCTAAAACTGAGGCTAGCTTAGTCGGCATAGCCAGTTCCAGGCCAGCTGGAACTACAGGGAAACCCTGTCTCAAAAACAGCAAAAAATTATGAAAGAAAATATGGTTACAACCACTCACAGATGAGAAAGTATAACTAAGGAGGTTAAATCTCTCATTGCATGTTTTTAATTGAGAAGTTAGAGCTTGAATCATCTAAACCTTAGCCTATGGCTGTTTTCAGTAACCTCTGCTGCCAGTTGCCAAATGATGCATGAGAGTCTCAGGAGTTCTAGTGAGACTCATAATCTACTTCCAGGTTTTCTCTTTTGGAGTGAAATATTTAGAGCTTAAACATGTGTAAGGGAAATAACACTATTGTTTCTATAATCATGAATTATTCTTTAAATATTTCTATAAAATTAAAAATGCTCTCACAAAGAAAGCATATACAAAATAGATCCTCTAGCCCAAAATAATTAGTTTGCTATTTTAGTCAATGGATAATAAAGAATGTTGGTTCATTCAATTCAGCAATATGATTCAAATATCTTGTATAGAGAATGGAAAGTAAGATTCCAGCTGAATTATGCCGATACGGAGAACCACAAGCAAAGGGTTAAACATTAGCACTGGCTATGGGCCATTTGTAGTTATTGAAAAGCAGTCAAATTGCCATTCAGTTGACCCACTACAATTAAGGTAACCCAATTATATAACATGTATTAACCAGATTCACTTTACTATTCAAAGTGCATTAATAGTGTAAAATCCATTTGTTGAAGAATAACTTTCTTTTATGTAAAAAATAAAAAAAGAAAGAAATTTGCCACCAACAAGCTACAGATACTAGGTTTTCATGTTAACAGATTCAATCTTGCATGGACCAACAAATTTAGGCTACTAAATTAGGGGATGATTTTTTTTATTGCTTTTTGAGCATGAACATATCCTAACACTTTGGCTGAGTGACCTCATTAAAAAAAATCTCCAACTTGCAAGAGATATTTGATCATCTTGGACATTTAATTTATTCAATCTCTTGACTACATGAATCTTGAGGTAAGATAATTATTTTTCTAGAAATAAATGATAAGCAGAGGTAATCACACCAACACCATCCTTTACATCAATGATAACGTATTCTTTTTCAAAACCAAGTACAGATCTATAGCTATAGCCTTTCAGAATATAAGTGCCATGAGTCTCATCCCATTATGGAAACATTAACCTAGAAAGAAAAGGAGCAATGATTTTTCCCCATCTGCACTAGAAAGGTAAATACCAAACTTCTTAGACACAGCTTCTCGGGTTATTTCCAGACTCCAGTGTGTTCTATGAGTCTAGATGAACTTTGGATGTGGTCTGGAAACTTCCTGATGGTTCCAAGGTCGACCTTCTCCTACCTGGAGTCTCTTGTCTGATATCTGCAACTCTTGTCTTGACATGTTAAATGTTTCTAGCTGCCCTGAGTTCTACATTACACTGATGTCCTAATTTGTTGTGTGGTTTGGCTGTTGTTTCATTGGCCTCTCAGTGAACCATGTAATAATCCACAACTGAAAAACTATCTTCTTGTCTGCATATATACTTTGATAACCTAGACAATTGGGTAATATTTACTTTATGGATTTCAAAATGTAAGGTTATCTATGCTCTGAAAGAATTCTCCAAATCACAACTAGACCCCATATACTCCAACCTGTTCCCACTATTTATTCATTGTTAGAGGGCCTTATATTTTCATAATTGGATCACATTCTTAAAAAAAGCTTGATTTTTTTTTTTTTTTGGTGCAGTAGTGGCACTTTTATATTGGGGTAATCAACAGCTGTTTAATTGGAAGTGAGGCCCACTCAATGAAAGGGAACTTATATGTGGTACTGTAAACATAGCCAAATACACATGGCTAGAGAGATCATATATAGATCCTGGAGAAAAACCTACTTTTGCCAAACTTCTAGACCAATGTAATTTCTTACTTTTTTTTTTGGTGCAGTAGTGGCACTTTTATATTGGGGTAATCAACAGCTGTTTAATTGGAAGTGAGGCCCACTCAATGAAAGGGAACTTATATGTGGTACTGTAAACATAGCCAAATACACATGGCTAGAGAGATCATATATAGATCCTGGAGAAAAACCTACTTTTGCCAAACTTCTAGACCAATGTAATTTCTTACTTTGTTTTAAATATGCATCTTCATATTTATAGACAAGTGCACCTCTCACCACTTTTCAAAGAAGCTTCTTTTTGCAGCAGATGGAGACTAATAAAGTTACACGACTAGTCAAATGTAGAGAATAGCCCTAAGGGACACATCTGCAATGCAACATCTACGTATAAGGGAAATGCATCTCTCAACTCTCACCAGAGAAATTTCCTTATGCAGCAGGTGATGATTAACACAGAAACCTATAACTGTCCAATGTTCAGAGAACAAGAGGCTGCAGAGTGCTCATCCCTGACTAGGACACCTGTTTCAAACTTCTGCCTCCCAAGTCTCAGGGATCATTGGGAAAGAAGGGGTGGAAAGACTGTAAGAGCCAGAGGTGGTGAATGACCACAAAGAAACAAAACTTTCCAGACAGATGGTTATTACCTATATGAATTCACAGCAATGGGGACAGCATGTACAAGTCCCAGACAAACTCAAATCAGACAAAATTTCAGTATAGACGGGGGAAGTGTGTAAGCAATCCCAACCCAACCTAAGGAACTTTTGGCAATTAATGACTACAAGGATGGAACTCTCGGTAGGTTACCCAGACTCCAATGGATGGACCCACATTGAAGGACATTTGGGGACATGGATCAGACTCTGACTCTATAGGATATATATATCGAGAAAATATATATGTATATATAGATATATATATAGAGAGAGAGAGAGAGAAAATATTAAATGGGGCAAAGGGGCAGTAAGAGGAGGTACAGAGAGGGAAGGTAATCGAAATACCATCAAATTACATTGCATGAAAATCACAAAAATTTGAATAAATTTTTCAAATATTTGATTTTAAATTAAGTATATATTGCATTTTTAATGTGCTTGAAGTAGAAAGATTAAACTGCAGTTTTGATGGAAAAACACTTGTCAGCACCGTTTTCATCCCTGAGCTGCTTTTCTATATGGTCTGTTTTGCAGAAACAACTCACATTAATCAGGCTGTTTAGACTACAACAAAGAGAACATTCAAAATAGTATAATTAAGGTAATTTGTTATAAGGGAAGAAGTCCAGAAAGTAGGGTATTTCCAGATTTGGCCTATTGGCAAATCAGTCTCAGAGTCAAGAACACAGGTGTTTTCCAGGTTTTTATTCTGCAATTTTCCAGTGTTGGACTTTGTCCTCAGAATAACAGCTGCATCAGTAACAGTCCCATGAAAAATGTCCTTTCATTAGGTCTCTTTCTTCTTTCAAGAAAAATCTTCTCCCAAGGAGCACAGCAGACTTCCTTTCCTCACCACACACTATTCCTGAGCAAACCACTGGGAATGTGATAGAATTCCCATGTTTTATGTGGAAGAATCAAAACCCATGCCTCATGCCCAGATGCTTCAAGGGAACCCAGCCTCCCTGAAGGCCACGGCCACCGCAAACCTTACTATCAGTTACAAAGAAATATTAAGCATGCTGACACTGGTGAGGTGACTAATAGTCCCGGATACGAAATGATTTACCCCTATGAT